GAGATGGAATCCAAGACCTTGCATGTGCTAGCTAGGTAAGCACTCTACCCTGAGCTACACCCTGCCCTGTTAATTTTATTGAGACAGGGTCTCTCTAAGTTGCCGAGGCTGGCCTGGAACTTCCGATCCTCCTTCCTCAGCCTCCTGAAGAGCTGGGATGATGGGGACGTGCCACTGCACCCGGCCAAAGGGGTTCTTACTCTGCAGCAGGCTGAGGACTAGGTCCTGGCCTGGGCGGGAGGCAGAGGAGCCCTTTGAGCTTCTGAGGGGACTTGCACCCAAGCAAAGGTAGGAAGAGGAGCTACTGGATGAGCCCCTGATGATGAGGGGGCATTTGGCAGTTTTCTTCATCTGTCTTTGAGAAGATGGCGTCATTCATTCATAGGCATGAAAGTAGTAGAGGGCCCATTGTGTGCAGTACCCATTCTAGGTGCTGGCCATATCTGGAACGAGTTAGACAAATCTTTGCTCTCCCGGAGTTTATTTTTCAGGGGTGGGAAAAGAGAAATAAATGAATGGATAAACCTGAAACAATGTCAAGTTGTCTGAAGGCTCTACATCGAATTCAAACAAAGTGTTGTAGTAGCCTACACCTGGGTGCTCTGGGAGGCTTCTCAGACTCGAGGCAGGAGTCGGCCCTGGGAAGATCTGGGCGAAAACGTATCCAAGGCAGAGGGAAGGGAAGCACAAAGGCCCTGAGGCAGAACTAGCTGGGCTTGTTCAAGGAACTAATGAAGGTATCAGGGACAGTAGGAACAAGGGGTTAGCATGGCTGATCCCACACAGCTTTGTAATTTTAAGGTCAGGAGCTGGAATTTATTGTAAGTTGAATGGGATGTCAGTGGAGTGTTTGAGCAGGGCTGTGATGTGACCTGATTTGTCTCTGAAGAATGGATCCTAGCTGCTGTGTGCTGAGTAGACTGCAGGGGACACAGGAAAAGCAGGAGACAGGTTTGGTGGTGATGGCTCTCATTAAGAGATGATGGGCTTGGGGACAAGGCATCATAGCAACAGAGGCCCTTTGCTAAGACAGAGTCAGTTTCTTTAGTATATTCAAAGCAGATGGGGAAGAATGAGGGCCTCAGGCTGGAAAGAGAGTTGTAGGCTCCCGGGGACAGGACAAGGAGCCATTGGTCTACCCTGTGTCTCAGGATGCTGCAGGTTTCCTGAGACTTGCCAGTAACTGTCCCCACACAGGCTCTGCAGTGTGTGGGTCTCCCGGCTGCATCCAAGGGGCTCATCCATACTTCTGGAGTGGCTCCATGTTCCTGCAAGGACCAGGGAGGGCCAACTTCCCTCTTCCGCAACAGCAGGATCATGAGGTGCTTGTGCCCAGAGCTATAGGTTCAGACAGTCTTGGGCTGAGGTCCCAAGTCACTGATCCACTCTGGACCTCCACATCTGCATCAGTAAAATAGGGTTAAATAGCTCCCACCAGCAGCCGGTGGAGATGAAGAGTGGACAAGGTAGAACGTGGCTGCCCCTAGCAACCATCGTCCACTGCAAGCCTTGGTGAAGGGCCCTGACTATTGTCATTCCTAGGCCACCTCAACTTAGAGGTTGAGTGACATTCCATGGACTGCTTGGCTCTTCCTGTCGTGACAAAACACCACAGACTGGGCGCCTTAGACCACAGACATTTACGTCCTCATGGTTGGAGGCTGGGAGGTCTGGGCCAGTTCAGTGCCTGCTGAGGCCTCTCTTCCTGGCCTACAAATGCTCAGAGAGCGGAGCCCTGGTCTCTCTTCCTCTTCATGTAAAGACACCAATCCTGTTGGAGTAGGGTCCCACCCTTGGACTTCATGTAACATTAATGACTAATTAAGGATGCTTTCTTCAGCTATGTCACCTTGGGGGTGGTGACTTCAACATGTGAATTCTGAGGGGCCATAATTCAGTCCATCGCAGCCCATGTGCTCTTTAATAGAATTTATGTTTTCTCGAACTTAAAATTGAAGCTTCCACAGTGAGTTCCCTATTTTCCAAAATTTATGAGGAAGTCACTGGACACCATTGTTGCTCTCCAGTATGGGATATCCAAAGCTGGCAGGGATGCCCCTCCGTTTCCTGCTGGTGGCTCATACACCCCTAGCACTCGATCACTCATTCAGCCTGAGACAGGACCGCACAGCTGAGGCGGGAAGGTTGAAATGAAAGGGACAACTGGATGACAGCAAGGACATGCATGTGACAGGGGTGTTTGACTTGGGAATAGAGGGGCTTGGAGGAGGAATGGAGATGCTCTTGTGACCTCCAGGGGTGAGATCCTGGGGTCCCAGAGATGTGGGCAGAGCTGAGACCTTTGAGAAGCTAAGGCATTAGGGCACGGGGCGGGGGGGGGGGAAAAGCTGCATGTGAGCAGAGACAGGTCTGTAGGGCCCTGCAGTTTCCAGAAGATGGTCACAGAAGCACCGATGATACCCAGGCAGTGATCGTGTAGGATCTGAGTCCCCCGATCATTAGAGGAGCCAAGGCATAGCCCCTGCAAACTTTAGCCCTCAGGGTCTCTGAAGGCTGGGAGGGCAGGGATGACGTAATCTACTCCCTCATCCAAAAGGTGCTTCTCATATGCCCACTGAGGATGTGGAGACCCGGGTCCCCACCATCCAGGGAAGAGAAGTTAATTGATGATGCATCATTAGTTACAGTTAGGGTTGGAGTGAAGGCGGCAGCCCTGGGGGAGCCGGCAGAGCTCTAACAGGGTGCTGGACATCATGGGGCCTCAAAAGCGACCTCTACTCTGGACTCGCTCCTGTCGGAGGAGGCTCTCTGATTATTTCCATCTCTGCTTCCTGGCTTCTCA